TCCCCTAGACTTTGAGGATACGATGAGATATGAGTTCCTGAATCTAGAGTAAGGGAAGATGTATGTTATAGTCGATGAGGCCAAATTTCATGTTTTATCTAGGTATGTTACTCAACTCTTTTTCAGTCCGCAAGAGGGGATTCGCCAATTTGTGAAGGAATTGAAGTCAGATTTGCAAAATCTAGCTTTACAAGTGGCTGCTTCTGCAAAATCATTTCAGAAAGTGGTCGATTTTGTGATAGAGGTATACGTAAAGGGGTGAAGCCATTTGAATTCCCCAAGCTAACAACGTTCAAGACGTTTTGTAAGTGAGATGATTTTAGTATTTCTACTCTTGATGGTGAGTCTGTGTTGATTGTGAAGGTGTATAGGTCTTGCATTATGGCATTTGTGGAGAGTAGAACTTATGTAGATTTAATTATACTGGATATGGTTGACTTTGATGTAATCCTGGGTATGACTTGTCTTTCTCCAAATTTTGCTATCTTAGATTGCAATGCTAAGATTGTGACCTTGGGTAGATATATTTGAAAGGCTAGGTATATAGTATTATGGGTGTCTACAGACTCATTTTCTTATGAATACTTTATTCTTGATAGACTTGAAACGTTATGAGTCATCGAGGAAAAGAAAGACATTAGGGGATTAATATGCTTCACTTCGGTTCTTTGGTCATGGTAGGTTATGATTTGTTCTATATGATAGAGAAACTCTTAATAGTGATTGGTAGTCATTGAGTTATGTCGTGAAACTTCATGTGTACTTACTCATTGTGGTTTAATGATTTATATATTGTTGTGATTGGTTTGTAATCCCAAGATTGCGAAATCCATAATCTTAACCTTCATATATCAAAGTGATGTCTTGAATAAAGATGTCTTAATAAAATATTGTTAATGAAGTGGAAAGTGATGAATTGACTATACTGTTGGATCGGGCACCACGAGCCGGCATGATATATTTAAATCGAATACCACAATCCAGCATAATATGTTTTGATTGGGTGCCCTGAGTCGCACTATATTATTTGATCGGGTGTCACATTCTAATAGGGTAACATTAAAGGGAAACATATTAAAATAACGTAATGCACTCAATCTCAAAGAACTAATTTTTCAAAAGAGCATGGTGTAGAGGCATGGGTCCTCAAGTGTGTTCTTGATATTGTGACTGATTACATACTCGCTTCGTTGTTGTTGCCACTTGTTCATGTTGTTTGTTTCTTACCAACTACTATGTGCTATAGTTGATTTCATGTTATTACTTTATGCATATTAGTTTCTATTTTGAGTCAGCTAATGATATCTATTGTGTACATGTTACCCGGTACTGACTCCTACTTGTATTTTCCTTCGTTTTCCTTTTGTGGAGTGTAGTGAGTGTATCAACAGCTTTGAATTGCACTCAACTCTAACTATTTTCCAACATATCAGGTTCGAGTGTGAGCCATTCATTCTAGCTCATTTTGTATTCTCTCGATCATGGCATGATGCCCTTAGCTTTCGGACATAAACTATATTATTTATTTATTCGGGTATCTTTATTACTCTTAGACTTGGTATTTTGGGATTAGACGTCCTTGATGTGATGAGGTTTAGCTCTTTGGAATAATATCGAATAGGTGCTAGTTGATTTTTGTTTCTTACATTAAAAGATTTGATCTTCCGCATTATTATCATATTTCATAAGTTGAATAACTAATATAAATTGAGTTTTGCATTAGTTGGTTCGCCCACCTAGAATATTAAGTGAAGGTATCACTCATGATCATTTTTTATCGTAACACGATATTAAATAATACTCATTTTAAGTTATACAAGAATATATGGAGCATTATTTTATATATATGATAAAATGAGAATCAAAATACATCTATATTACCTTAAAAGCATGCACTCCTAACTTGAATGTTAAATTACTATAATATCCCTAACTTAGGTTGTGACTTTTTCGATGAGTTGTGACTTTTTCCAAAGGGTTGTGATTTTTCGATAAGTTGTGACTTTTCTAAAGAGTTGTGACTTTTTCTATAAATTGTGACTTTTCCAAAGGGTTGTGACTTCCCGGAAAGGTCATGACTTTTCAGATAAGACACAAAAAATAATTGTTCATGCTACCTTTTGTTGACTATAAATAGAGGGGTTTCCTCTCATTTTTCAACCACAATTTTTTTTTAAAAATCTTCTACTCTTCTTCTTCTTGTATTATAATTTTTTTTTGTGTGATTTATTGTTGTTGAGAATGTTTGAAGTTTAACAGAATATGGGCACTATTCTGATGAATTATAAATCATTCTCTGCTAAGAGGGTATATTCGATAACTTCGAGTAGTTGAGAGAAATAATTTTAATTATAAAATAATTATTTTTGCTTAATATATACATTAGTATGTAATGTTCCAATATATGAAGTTAACGTGATGTAGTCTATTTTCATTTGTTTTTGTTAACAATTTCTTTTGTGATGTAGATATATGCTTCTAAATATCTTTTTTCTAAAATTTAGAGAATTGTCATGATTTGTTTTTTTAATGCTCAAGACAAAAGAATGACTTTATTTATCAATACTACTTATATGATTTAGATTGTCAGGAAGTTTGCTTCAAAATAGTTATTACTATATAAACATTGCCTTTTTCTTTTACTTATTTACTATTTCATGATATTTAAGTATTTTAGTCAAAGAGAAATTCATATGACTTGTAATAACGTAAGTTGAAATTTGTATTAGTTTAATTTTTTATTATTTATTTAATAGCTAATTTTTATGAGATAAATATTTTCAATAATGAAAATATATATTTACGTTTTGGTAGGTATTTGTACATAAATTAAAGTATTATATATGTCACAAATGTATTATCAAGTTAACAAGATCTTCTAAGTT